TCAAATTGGTCCCTCTATAAAACATGTATTGGTACCATTTCGTCAACAAAAATAATTTTGCTTACGTATGTAAGGTTGTGTTTGAATCATAATAACTTTATATTTCTCTCATTTTTTCTTTTTCCTTTTTAAATTCCTATCTAAATTTAAAATGATGTTCTCGGAGGGGAATATAGTGAGGGTGGGGTTGTGCAATACGGTTTACGTCTAGATCAATTTAGTTTGCGGTTTACATTCAATTTCTATGGTCACTAGCATAAGGCACGAAGTAACCTCATCTTCATGTTATTTTTTTCTTCCAGAATGCAGCTTCTCTGTTTGATACTCAGTGCATAATTGGAGCAATTATTATGTTTTTCTCACATAAATACATTTTTTAGGTCTTGAGTACTATTTTATTTGATAAATTGTTCATATTTTACTCTTTCATGATAAGGAAACTGCATTGAGTTTTTATCTTGTGCGCATTATTTTGGATAATATAAACATCTTAAAATTAGATTGATCATGACTATGAAAAAACTTCAATCCAAATTTAAGCACCTTAAGCTTCAATTCAAAGAGCTACTTTTGTTTGAAGTATATTAGTTGGTCTACTTTTGAAAATGCATTTTTATGGCATTGGTATGTCATGAGTGAGAGAGAACTTAAACAAAAAGCGGAGAAAGGGTTTGGTTGTGCAATGAGGTTGTGGGATGTCGGGAAATAGAGGTATAGGGAGAAAAAAAAGTGCAACCAAATGAATAGAACAATGAGGGAAAGATATGGAGGATACGACAACGGGAAATGGTCTGCAATTAAATTAATGGATTTGATTTAGTTTAAAATAGGAGATATAAGTTAAAATGATTACAAATGTATGTTGGCAAAAATATCAGTATGAACTGGATAGTTAATATTTATGCTACATGCTAAATTTTATGTTCAGAAATTTTTTTATTGGTTGGAAATTAATTATATTTGCTGGATCAATTTTTCTAAATGTTCTATCAAGTGTTTAAAGGCTAAAAGTTGAACTTCTGAAATCATGTTTAAGAGTTAAGATTTAATGTGGTTGGAACCTAAAATTGAACTTTTTATTTTTGCAATTGTTATAAATAGTTGTATATACATACATATACAAACCCCATTCACTCTCTCACATCTGCATACACTTCCCCTTCCCACCAGCTCTTAATCCAAAGCCCTTTACAATGGCTTCTTTGTTGATGCAATAAAGGTTGTTATTGCGTAAGAATACTTTTGATGGTTGATTTCAAAGTGGGTTATATATTTCGACAGGCCACAAAGCAAAAATGAAAATCCACTTATCTATATAATAAACCACAAGGATTTTTGAAAATGTCCTACAATTGTCTTAGAGATACAATTGTTTTTAATGGTTGAGATCAATCCTAATCAACATCTAACGGTTAAAAGTATAAGTTGAACAAAATGTGTGTTGATGCTAGACCTCTGGTTCTCGCTTACCAGTACCTCTGTCTATCACAAATGTCTCTCTCCCCCTTAAAAGTTAGTTTCTTTAGAACATAATTTGAAGACCGGAAAGAGCTTTACTTAGTTTGAATTCCTAGACTTGAATGAGGAGAAGAGCTTTATTGGTTTTGATGTAAGTGGGATTACCTTAAAAGTTAGTTTCTTTACAACATAATTTGAAAACCGAAAAGAGCTCTACTTAGTTTTACTCTCTCTCTCTCTCTCTCTCTCTCACACACACACACACACACACAAACGCACACACAACCTCTTTGCAAGTGATGATTATGGCAATTTTTTTGTGAATTTCGTTGAGCGTTTTTGTGTTTGAGATTGTGCTTTGTACATAATTTAGTTGTATTTTGATTGTCCTTTTCTTTATGTTTATGTCTCCTTTGCTGCTTTAAGTCTCAGTTTAGGTGTACGGTCAGAAGATTGAATATCTTTGTTAACTGGTTCTACTTGCTTTGGTTTTAGCTATGTTGTGATTCACTTTCCCACATTTTATCTTGGTAATTTTTTTTATTCTCTGGATGGGTTTGGGGATGGCTTGAATTATATAAAGCACTTGAAAACTCTAAATGTTTAGGGAGGCTATTCGTTTTGTAAAAGACAAAATACAAGAAATTAGAAAATGGGAGAATGATTTGATACAGTTGTACTGAGTAATATCCATACACTAACTAAAGATTTGATGCACTAATTTAGTCATCCATGAGATTCTTTTTTATGATAGCAATCGCTTAAATATTGTTTTGAAGTCTTTATGAGTAAAAAGGCAATTCCTCATGTCTCATTCAAACTTAGATGGCATCTTCATTTTGTTTCTATATAAAACATTTGATTTTATTTGTGAAGTGATGATTGGTCCTTTATATCAAAGGAAAAAATTGATTTTGCTTGCGGGATTATTGTTCAGATTCATTTTTTCCTTCCAAATTAGTTTTAGTATTTGCTGTGGCCAGTACAAGCTATGCATTTCATATCTCTGGTTTTTTTTTTCCCCCTCAATTAATTTGTCATGTTTTGCTTCATGCATTGTTAGGAACTTAAAATTGTGGCCTCATCATGTCTTTCAAAGATTACAAATATTGTGTTTTATAGTAGTGATGACACAAATTTTTGATTTTTTCGTGAATTTTGCGATGAATAGTTTGTGTTTTTTTAGGGCTTTTTAATTTTATTTTTATTATTTGATCTATTTACAGAGCTTAGATAATTGGAAAAATGGCGAGTTCATCAATGCGTGTTCTATGTTTGCTACACTGTAGTAATTCATTATCTAGATCAAAGTGTTTGGAGAGGTTTGCCTAATTCATATTTTTGCTGTTGTTGAAATTTGCTCCCCGGTTCAACTAGGAAGACTTCTACACAAGAGTTATCATTTTATTGATAGGTTTCACTATGTAAAACTTGTGTAAACTTCTCTCTTACATTCATGTTTAGAATCTTCGCTTAATGCTATTTTTCATGTGTGTTTCAGCCAATGATGAGGTCAGAAGTATGCTTACCACTGATATATTTAGAGCTATTGGAGAAGTACATGAATTTTGTATTGAAAGAAGGGGATTAATTACAAAACAAATTGAAAGAAGATTATTTGTTGCTATGACAATGTTCAAACCAAACCAAACCAAACCAAACCAAATTAAACCAAGCCTTTAGTCCCCTTGCTATGACAATGTCATTACAAAAAATTGTGAAACATGCAATTATAACTCTTAAACATGGGTTTGTTGAGTTTTTTTGGTATTGTTCAAATTGAAACCGTAAAATCATCTGATTCAATAATATTATATTAAGCTATTCATGCATTTGTTATTGTTCTTCAAATTATTTTTATTACTGCAATGAGTTCATTTTGTTGTCAAATTAGAGTTGCTTTTAAAGAACCATTTTGTTGATTTCTCATATGTATTTTGATGTGATTTCTCATAGCTATTTGTTTTTTAAAGTGAATTTAAGCGAGTGATTGTGTTGTAGGTGGCTGATTCGTATTGGAAACGTTGGGTTATGTTGCTTCTCTTTATGTGTGTAGTTGGTTGGCTCTCATTCTAAACCGGATGGTTAATTATTATTATTTTTAGTTAGATAAGATGATTACTCTTTTGTACCAAAATATTCGTTCACCTTTTCTTGAAGGTATTGAAATTTGATAAACTGAAAAGGTTAGCAGTTATGATACTAATTCAGTAACATCCTTTTATTAAAGGTTTGCTATACATGTGTCATTTTAACGTGGATTGAATTCTAAAATTTGTTGTTTGGACTTGAATTTTAGCAAATATTTTTAGATTCTATTATTTGCTTATGCTATACTGTAATATAAAATTTATTATTTGCTTATGAATGTTTTTGCCAGTTTACTATGTAGAAACAATTTCAACTTTTCATTTGTGAAGTATTAAACTAGAGTGATATATCATTTTAAATTGATTTATTACAATTGAATTCCGTAGCCCGTGTGGTACCAAAAAAATTATTGACCGTGCCTTCAGGCACGGGTTATCCCTAGTATATATATATTGGAGACCTCCTAAGCCAGTGAGATCATCTGAGCCTGTGCAAGGAAGACGTATAAAAAGCGGGAAGAGGCATTCCGCTGGAGATAAAAGACTCAAAAGACTTGGTGGATGGCCAAAAAACTTGTTGCAAATTTTATCACCCAAAGTGACACTATCTGATTGCTTATCTGACAGGGATATTAAAAAAACGAGGAGAGATTTCAGACAACTCATAAAACAAAAACAGGTCTTCTTGGACTGTACATACAAGGGAAAAGAAAGAAAACGCTACTTTTTTTAAAAACCACTAATAGCATTGGAAAGCTAAAAAAATTTCTTTTTTATCAGTTGAATACCTTTCTAACTACAACAAAAGCATATGCTAGCCCTTGAGCAATTCTAACTTCAATCTTGCACACAACTTGGAATAAAAACTTAGCATTGGCTAAGTGCAACTATAGTTGCATCTATGATATTGCAACAATAAACCACAGGTTGTCAGGCTATGGTAACATGACCCTACATCATGAATGATATGCCATTCAGTTTTTTTAAGGCTGCAAAGGATGGTGTGGCCACAAGCCTCTTGCTTTGCTCAGTTTGCTTTCTTAATATTGAAGCTTTTCTTCTTTATCTTCATTTCAATATACTAAAACTTGTAGTAGCTTTTCTTCTCTAGTTTGCTTTCTTCTTGCTTTGTGGTAGGTGTCCATTTTTTAAGACTTGTTATATCCATAGCTTACCCAATACACCAACAGCATATGAAGCAAGCCCTCTATCACATAAAAGAAAAAAATGTACAAAGATATTTGCATGCATATATATGTGTGTGTGTGTGTGGGTGTCTGTAAATATACTAATCAATAAACCTCCCCTAAAACACGCAGAAGATTGGCTGACAGACGCAAGCATTATGCTTCTTTTTATCAGTTAACGTGACTTCATTATGCAGAGAACAGTACAGTAAAATGGACAACGGTAATGTAAGACACTTGACATCATATAATTCCAAGATTTTACCCTTTCATGTCAGTCCGACCATATGTTGTTTTCAAGCCCACTACACCACAAAGGGAAGAAGGAATACGAACTGAACCTGTATTTTGCATTAATAAAGCAATATCAATAATTGTCTTGAAAAATAAAGAGAATCAGTTGAAGACAAGATGACAAATTTGTACAACCTCCACCATCTGTTCCTAGTGCAGCTGAACAAAGCCCAGAAGCTACAATTGCTGCTGGGCCTGAGGAAGATCCACCTGTATACCTTTTTGGATCATGTGGGTTTCTTGTTGTTCTGTCATTATGAGCAGATTTGTGAAAGATATTTGTCAATGATAGCAATTTAGAAGTCAATGAAAGAAGTGATGGAGATAAAAAGGTGAATGGATAAATCATGTTCTTAAAAATAATAAATAAATAAAAAACTATAATGTGAGACGATTTAAGTTCATGTAAGCAAGATCTAAAGCCAATGAATCACTTTTATTAATAATAGGTTCATTTAACTGGAAACAAAAAATCAGGAACTAAGCCAACCGTGGTTCAAATTATATAAGATAAACATAATCTTGGCCATTTATGTCCAAACAATATATTTATTCTGTCAAAAAAAATCACTTAAGTTATAACTTATGTGGCTCATGAGGTTAGCATATATGCAAAAGTGGATAACCAGTAAATCATATAAATAATAATTGGACGCAAGACATTTGATAATATAAGTTTTCCAAGAATAACATGCAAACAAAAGGCAATATGCTGAGATATTTCCCCAAACTAAAAATCTAACATGTTCAGTATATGAAGCACCATTGTTATGTGGGGTCCATTTAAATAATTCTAAGAACATTGCAAAGACTTAAATATCAGGGTATAAGCAGATAAATAAATCAAATATAATTCTAAGATGCAAGATACGTTATAAATTAAGTAGCCTTTGTAAAGCTAACGCGCTACCAGCAGGTAATACGCTGAATATAACAGTCTTATTTCTCCACTCAACAATCTCTGCAGTCACCTTGTCATGCATGCATGTTGAACACTGAAATCATATTTATCTCTTTGTTTACATAGCTACTACATGGAATCTTACCCATAGTTTGCATTATTTCCTGTTGTTCCTAGACCCATTTCATGCATATTTGCCTTTCCAACAAAAATAACACCACAGCTACGTAACCTTGATACAGAAACTGCATCTTTTTTAATAGGGCGCACCTCATGAAACCACGTCGTTGCGCCTGTTTGTCATAGAATACTGAGCTACATTTGTAAATCGAGTAAGAAAACTTCATGAAAATGAAAATTCAATTATATTTTACCCTTTGATGGATGAGGATAGCAGTCTATATCATCCTTGATAGCCATGAAAATCCCATCCAAGATTGACAGTGGGTGTCCTGCACAACCCACAACCATTGGGGAATTAACAACTAAATTCTAGCTCAGAAAACTTCCACACTCAAGAGCGGACAGTCAGATGTAAAATACACATTTAGTAACAGATCTGCTACTAACAATAACAAAAACAGGAATTCACATTCAAAATCAGTGATACCTTCCTCAAACCTTTGTGTGGAAGCCGCAGCTTGCTTTCTTACTTCCTCAGCATCAAAAGATATCAATAGTGGAGTTGGGGGCTTCTTATTGCTGAACTCCTCCATGGCTGAAATGAAGCGTTCTGCAACCTATATGCTGACAGTGAGATTCTTCTTCACAGTAGTTAGTTGGGAAAAATAAATAAATAAATAAATAAAATTGGCAACAATTACAAGATACCATAGATGGGGTTGCCAGCCTAGACCGATAAGCATATGCATAATCACGTATCTTCCAGTAGCGGAAGGATGGAGTTGAATCACCAGTCCAACAGGTAGAAGCATCATGACGTGGGAGACACTGCAAGGCTAATTCAACACGGTCTTCAGGTTTTCCATCTTCTTCCAAACCAACAACTCCGGGCTCTGGATCTAAACTCACATCATACAAACTGGGTAAATTTCATGTACAGTGGCCATTATCTTATTAACAACAAATTGTAAGCAATTTTTTTTTTTCTGTTTCACTCCATTCCACACTGCAAATTTCTCTCTGTGTCATGATTCATGTGCCCTCAATCACTTTCAATACTCTCACAGGTAAAGCAACAAAGCTAGTGCAAGTGTCTTAAATTGATAAGAGCACAAAGTACCCTTGGCCTAAGCCAAAAGGCCAAGCAAGGTATAGCACCAACGTCTTTCAATCAAGATTTCCAATTTCCCAAATTTCTGACATTGATAATACACAAATGAGGTAATGCCACTCGGGAAGGGAGAAAAAAAAAAGGTTCAAAAAGAAAATTGCAGTATTCATTGAAAAAGAGTTAGACAAAAAGAAAATCACAATATTCATCAAGAAAGAGCTGGACAAATGCGATTGTGTGATGTCAAACTGCTTAAGCACATGGTCTTCTCATCTAATTACTCACCAGTGAATGGGGATCATTTGTAGGAGTGATAGATGAATTGAACAGGTTAAATAAAATAAATTTTAATGCTTGACATGGAGCTACTCATTCCAACAATTTGTAAACTACATTGAACATGAGCTTTTCATTTAAGGAAAAGAATCATGGATATAAGAATTTTAAGAACAAACCTTGAGGAGGAAACTCGGGTTTAAACATTGGTGTCTCTGGTATCACAGTATTCCGTAATTTCTGTCAATTATCAACATTTTTAGCAAAATTAGTCTCATGCTTTTAACATCACAACTACTGACACCAAAAAAAAAAAATATGAATATAACTACAAAGAGATGTCCAAATCTATGTTTCCTAGAACGTGGATCGTCCTCGTATGTGAAACGAGAATGGGAACGGGAACGTGGTACACCACATGCTCTAAAATGTGGTACATAAGAGTAGACTTATATATATAACACTTTAAAATTTAAGATGCTTCTACAATAATTTTTTTTAACAATAAATTTTTTTCCCTTCATTTTTATGTTTTTGTCTTGTCAAATCTTAACTCATTTTAGTTTTTTTTTTTCCTCTTGGGATCTGTGTATTTTATTTTTATTTTTTTTCCTCCAAAGATATCATTTAAGAGCCGACCTCATTTGATGGAACTTAATGCTTGGTTTGATTTGGTTTAAGATAACATTTAAGAAAATATATTAGAATAGTTTCAGATCACTAATTTTACCGTTTTGAACAGAAGTATATCATGTTTCGAAACGTGCATTTCAATACGTATTAGCGTTTTCTAATAACACATATCCAAAGATACACATGTATATGTATAGGGGCTGTTTGGTGCAGTTTATTTAAGTTGATTAAAGCTTTTTTAATTCTAGAAGTTTGTGCCCAGACGGTTTGATGTAACTTCTTATTAGACAGAAAACAACTTCAATAAGCTAAAAAAACAAATGGTTATCTAGAAGCTATCACTGAGGATGCTTTTGGCTTCTTCTTCATAATTATCAACTTTTGACTTCCAATAAATTGTACCAAACATGGCCTATATATCGAAATTTGAAGGAGAATTTGCAGATGAACAGACCTCAACCATATGATTCTGCTTCTTCAAGTAAGATGCGATCAATGAACCTATCAGTGGGGATTCGAGTATCTTAACAAAAAACTTGAGCGACAGTCCGGTCAAATGTGGAGCTGAGAACCACCAACAACATCAAAAACAAGCGATTATCAATCTGATCATTCTCTTCTTTCCACCATGATTTACACAAATTAAACATTGAATTTAAAAATGATGGGGAAAAAATTGAAACTGCAATTAAAAGAGCAAACAAACACACCTTGAATCGGCTCGGGCTCGTACTTCACGGCCGCCAAGTCAACTTCGTTCGCAGGAACCATAACACGCTTCTTTCCTCCCATTCTTGATCAAAATTCAAAGAAACAAACAATCAAACACTAAATCTGCATTCTGCACATACATAGAGAGAATGTATAGTCTCGTAAAACTGTTTGATAATCAGAATTTGGATTGACAAACCTCTGGAACTGAAGTTTCTGCTAAGTTGAGAGAGAGAGAGAGAGAGAGAGAGAGAAGCGCGCACTGGGGGAGTTGGGAATTAAATTTAAGGGGGCCCAAATAGGACGAATGGGAGCGTTGAACGATGCTTGTCATTAGGCGAAGCACGCACTGGGGGAGCTGGGAATTAAATTTGAGGGGTGCCAAATAGGACGAATGGGGGCGTTGAACGATGCTTGTTATTAGGTGAGCGCTCATCCATGTCGCCTTCACTTCATTGCTCTGTCGCTTACTTCCACGTTAAACCAATGGACTTTTTTTTATTTTTTTTTGGGTCTATTTTAATTTAGGATAAATTACACTTTGTAAAATTATACTTGACGCCTTTCTTACTTTAGTTGTTAAATTTCAAGTTTTTTTTTTTCAATTTACTCTTAAAAAAACTTCAATTAAAAATTAGATAAAAAATGACTTATTGACAATCACATAACATAAGAATATTTTATTATAAATAACTCACATATCTTATACAAATTCAAATTTTAATATAATAATATATTTTTATATTATGTGAAAGTCATCGTGATATTTTCTATCTAATTTTAGACAAAAATTAGCTTTAAGAGTAAATTGAAAAAAAAAAAATTGAAACATTAAGGGCCAAAAGTGGAAAAAAAAAAATAAATTTTAAGAATCAAAGTGAAAAGTGACTAAACATAAAAAGGGTGAAGTGTGGGAAAATGTTTGGAACCCCATTTGGAGATGACCCTTACACCCCTAAAGTGATCCTGGTCTTCTATGTATGTATGAGATCTACTCATATATGTATGGGATCCACAACATGAGAGGTTCAGATTTGTGGGGGTTTTGTAAAGATGGAGTCTCAATCATTACTCGGTAAAGTGTAATTTATCCTTTAATTTAATAACGATGTTATAAAGTTATGGAAAAATTATTTATAAGTCTTATTAGGGAGACTTATACTTACATATGGGAGGTTTTTCCCATATTAAGCCTATTTTGTATCTTAATTCCAAAACTAGGCCTAGTTTGGACGGAATTCCCAAACTAGGCTAAAGCGCTATTACAAATCGCGCTTTCACTGTTGGGAGCCCAAAATGTGATGAATAGTGAGAGCGCTATTGCAAACCATGCTTTTAATTAAGAAAGTGTGGTTGCAAATCACGCTTTTAACATAAATTTTTTTCTGAAGAAACCACGCTTTCACTGTGCATCTCGTTTAATTCATTTTCTAAAAAATCACGCTTTCACTGTGCATATAATTTATTTTTTTCTGAAGAAAACGTGATTGTGAATCACGCTTTCACTGTTCATATAATTTTGTTACGAAAACGTGATTCACAATCACACTTTCACTGTTCATTAATGAAAGCGTGGATTGAAACCACGCTTTTACAACCCATATAAAACACGGAAAAGCCCTTATTTGCAATCGCGTTTTTACACTTATTTCAATCTCCTCCCTCTCAGACGACTCCTCTGCTTGCTCGAGCTCTCCCTCTGCTCTCTGATTTGCACTCTCGCTCTCCCTCTCCTTCTGCTCTCAGACTCTCACTCTCTGTCTCTGCTCTCTCTCTGTCTGTGGTATGGCATCTATCTCTCTGTGTCTCATTTCAATCTTATGTGTTTATTGTGTTTGTGAATGTGTGGTTTTGAATTTGAAATTAGAAATTAGCGTTATGAAATTATAAATGTGTTAGGGTTTTGAATTATGAAATGTGTGGTTAAATGTGTTAGGGTTTGGAATTATGAAATGTGTTAGGGTTTTAAATGTGTGGTTATGAAATTATGAAATCATAAAATGTTAGGGTTTTGAATTGTGAAATCAGAAATTATGAGTAGGTTGGTTTATTGTTAATGTTTGGAACAAATGAAATTATAAATGTGTTAGGGTTTTGAATTGTTAATCAGAATTGTTAATGTTTGGAATTAGGGTTTTGAATTGTAAAATGTTAGGGTTTATGATTATGCTCTATGGTTTTCAGGAATTTTTTTTAATTAAGAATAAAATTATGCGACTTGAAATTCATATAATTCAGAATTGTTAATGTTTGGAATTAGGGTTTTGAATTGTAAAATGTTAGGGTTTATGATTATGCTCTATGGTTTTCAGGAATTTTTTTTAATTAAGAATAAAATTATGCGACTTGAAATTCATATAATTCAGAATTGTTAATGTTTGGAATTAGGGTTTTCGATTTGTTGAAATTAGTGTTTGAAATTAGGATTTTCAATTTGTTGAAATTAGGGTTTTCAATTTATTGAAATTATTGTATATTTTTTGAAATTAGGGTTTAGAATTTTGTATTGTGAATGAACCAACCTATATTTGTTGAATTGGAAATTTTATAAAATTGCTTGTTAATAAAAGGGATTTTTTTTTAATTAAGAATAAAATTATGCGAATTGAAATTCATATAATTCAGAATTGTTAATGTCATATTATGAAATTCATATAATTGAGAATTGAGAATTGAAATTCATATTATGAAATTCATGAATTGAGAATTAAGGTGGACTGGCAATTTCAATTCAAGGTCCACATGCTTACATATATATGATCATTTTGTTCCAGAAAATAAGACTGTAAACTGTATGATTGAATTCAAAATCTAAAAATTGAAATGAATCTGAAAAATTCAAAATTTGAGAGTTTTGATAATAAAAAAAAGGATCATGTTCTCATAAAGTCAATTTTAAAAAAAGAAATCATGTTCTCTTAAAGTCAATTTTATTCAGTATTTTGCCTTTATTCAGTGTTTAGAAATTGGATTAAAATATTCAATTTATTATTCTTAAACTAATTAAGGGATTAGTATGAGTGATCTATTTCATTTTGAATGAATTATTTTGCATTTGATTTTGGTCTAATCTCTTAATAGATATTATCTATTGCACTTAATTCATGCATTGTGTAAAATTAAAGGATAAAAGTTGATACAATTAGAGCTTCAAGAATCAAATTGATTTGAGACAAGAAGCAAACTACACAACTAGGGATTCAATTTGCCTTTTATTACAAATGCAAGTCATCTACATTTTTTTTAGGGGAAAGATCCGCATCAAACCCAAAAAATTTATACAAATTTTGTCAGTATACATCGCTGCTCTATTGATTTTTTGTTTTTAAATTTAATCTTTAATATCAAATTTTCTTTTTGTTTTTCTTAAATTTTAAGGAAGAAGTCCTAATAATTGGGTTAATTACTTAAAAGTCCTATTGGGAATGTTCATGTTCCATTAAGTTCTCTTTCTTTTTTGTTAACCCATAAAATCTTATTTTAAAAATATTTATTTATATAAAACTCATCTCTTTATTAAAAGAAGAAGGAATTGTGTCAATTCCTTGAGTGTTAGTAGAAAATTATTAGGTGTTACAAGTGCACCACATGACAATATTATCCACTAATCACCAAGCATTATACCTTATGCCCTAATACAAAATTGTAGGCCCCACCCTCCCCATCAATCATAAATATTTTGAAAATCACCTAACCATGCCTCAAAAGTATTAGATATTTTTTCTTATTCAAATAGTATTGCTGATGTGGAATTTTACTTCTTTTTTTTTTTTCAAAACTTACAAATTTCATAATTTTTATTATACAAATTTATTTTTAATAAAATATATATTTTTGGAGTCTACACAATGAGATTTATCAAACATGACCAATATTGAATATAAAATTTCATAAAAATAAAATATTATTTTTTTAGTTATACAAAACTAACAATTTCTCAGTTTGCGAAATTATCTAATAAAACTGAGAAAATTATCTAGTTATGTAATAGAAAACCCAAAATATGAGACACAAACACCCGGAGAAGACTTTTCTTTATAATAGTACTAGATATATATGCACATTTATTCAGTATTTCACTTGGTAATATCAAGGTGGGGTTGTATACTTGAATCTGCCGTCTATTATATGACTATACTATTTTACCCTCTAGGTGTATTTATTCAATTCAAGACATTGTGCATATTTAATCAAGGGCAAATTTCACTTCAATGTGCATGTGCAAACTACCCATATAATTTGGAAATAACTATAATGTTCTTTTGGTTTGTGGACTAAATGAAGTATACCGTCAGACGTTCAATCCAAGTTCACATCAAGTGTGAAACATGTGCTAGATTGTAACACCCTCAAAAAAATAACATTAAACCCATCAATATAGACATACATTGATATGTATAAAAGCTCCACATTCTACTATTCAACAGAGTTTCATTACAAAAAGTATTACATGTTAACAACAAAAGCAAATGCCCTAAAGGCTTACAGCTTTCCAAGCTAACACTTGGTTACAACAAAAGAGTACTAACTCATTTATACATTAAGCCATTGGCTTGAATATACATGTAATACATCAAAAGGGAAAAGACAACAAAAGTCTGCCCGCCTTTAGCCTCCCAAGCTACGTCCTTGGAGGTGGCATGCTACCTGTACCTGAAAATGATGTTCCCATATAGGGTGAGCCACAGCCCAGCAGAGATATACTAAACCAACTATGAGCAATGACTAAAAGATTAGCAATTGATAGATGGCCAACACCGATACATCCGCATATATCACGTCACAATTTCATAACATACGAGTCTATGTCACTTTCCATTTTCCATCCTTATTTAATAGATAAGCATACTAGCTATATCAACACATCAACAGATGAACATCTTACGCATCAACAGATAAGCATATAAGCTGTATCCATACTTCACTAGACAAGCATATGAGCTGTATCTACACTTCACTAGACAAGCATATGAGCTGTATCTACACTTCTCAAAGATAAGCCTATGAGCTGTATCTTCACTTCTCTAGACAAGCATATGAGCTGTGTCTACGGAGTTCATCCCCCATCTCCTCCAATCCTATCCGGTTTAGAGGTACATCCCTCATCTTCCCCTAAACCGCGGAGTACATCCCCCATCTCCTCCTCTATACACAATGCATATAAACGTAAAGGTTTTATACACAATCAATCAATACATAAAATTAATGTATTCAATCCACCGCCATACTCTATGACACATTCAATCGATTAGTTTTAGTTTGCCTAATCATCATGCATTGTCTACAACAGTCACGACTATCCTCCACCGATAGCCCAAAGCGGTTATTTCTAAGCAGAAAATAAATGCACAAATGGATATTAAATCAACATTCCAACTAGGTGAGTGATAAATAATCCAACTACACCCTTTTTATCCCATGACTTCCCAAATCAATTCCTCATTTCTCATAATTAATTATGCAAATTAATTA